AAGAATTTCTATTGTTTCGGTTAAGGCGACGATAGGTAAAATTGAACTAATCAATCCCTGTGGGACGATATTCGAACTCATTTAATCCACTTTATTACTTGTTAACGAACCGTACACTTGCGATAATTTAAATCGAAAGAAATATTTCGCGAACAGCTATGCCCTGAGGACAACAATTGTATCTCGTTTTCATATTGGACATGACAGTATGTGGAGTTTTCCTTTAGGGATTTACCAAATCATGTTGTGCGTTAACTTTTATATACCTTCAGATATTGATTAGAACAATATGAACGTGTGGGCCACTTAGAAATTCATTTCAATGTAGACTAGGAAATAGACGGTTGAGGCTATTAAGTTGCTGTTTGCTAAGTTCCATCAATGTTTTATACGAACTATTAATACATGGGTTTGAAAAGGTTAAAAAAAAAAAAAAAAAAAAAATTCTGTTTGACTAATTTGGAGCTATTTTGTTTAACTATTGACATAACTAAGCCCCCATTTGACACAACCAGTTTTTTGTGTAGAATGAGTTTTCGAATAGCAAGTTATTGAAGAGTGTGTGGTTAAAAAGTAGGAAAAAAATTAAATTTACGTGAAGAATATTTTATTATAAAAAAGTGTGATTAAAAATGAGTATGAGAAAAAGATTAAAAGAATAGTTGTCAAACAGGGATTAAATGTTTTATTTTTGAAGTTAGTGCAAATAATTTTTTCCGAAAAATGCTGCTTCCACCACTCGGGGTTGAAAAATGCTACTTCTACCTAACTGGCTGCCAAAGTGACGTGTATGGATCAGAATAAAAGGTAGCAGATGGCTGTGATTTTAATGAAATGAAACAAAATAAGGCAGGAAATGGGAAGCTCTAAAACCATTTCCTGAATGGTCATCTCTTCACGCGATGATTTTGACTTCTCCCAAATTGGAAAGCACGTGATAATTATGACTTTGCAGTGAGAAACCCATCTGTCGGGCAGCTCCGACAGTAAACCTAGTAACATTGCCATGATTGTCGTGCAGCTCCAACAGTAAAAGCAACAATTACCTCGTTCGGTCCTCATTTTTTGTAATGAAAATAGGAGGAATAGTGTTTTGTTGAAAAAAATGAGTGATTAAAAAAAAAGAAAAAATTTTCAATTTACATGTAATATTATTTTATGAAAGATTGTGTGGTTGAAAACAGGAGAGAGAAAAATAGAATGTAATGGAATGTAATTTAATGGGGGTCAAACAGGGGCAATATTACTGTGTTCAATCTCCATCTCAGGTAGTCGTGTAGTTCAGAGCATTCTCCGCAGGTGCATTATTCTGGGAAATAATTTATTTGTTGATCATAAGTCCAAATTCGTTGTACAATGTATTTGAAAATTAGCATTAAGTTGCATGTTTTAGCTGTCTTGAAATTGGATAGAAACAAGTTGTATTATCTACTTGCATTTTGGATGTTCCTTTGCTTATAAAAAAGGACATTGGCCACGATTTTGAGAGAATCAATTCTTCTCCCATCATATTCTAGTTTCCTTTATTTTCTTTGTAACATTTCATTATATATTTCTAAACCATTAACTAGAGTTAAGTGTGAAACTTTGGTGAATGCATAGAATATGTCTTTGATCTTTTATTTTGTTCTTCAATATTCATCTTCTTATTTGGTTAAGTATATGTTCTACAAATGGTTTTGGTTTGTTAAATACTTTGATTTATTGTTAACAATTTTGGCACAATAAATGCTTAGATAATCTCTACATACTAACAACTTATTTTGACATATTCTCTCAAACAATTATCAAGATTGATCCTTTAGGATATTTGCGATCAATGTTTTATCTTCCATATGAGATCACTTCTTAGTTTATTTTCATATGAGTCAAATAAAAGATCGAGGGTAATTTCTACTCATTTATCCGAAGTAAATCCCCAATGCTCTAGTGTTCTTCTCCATCGTATTTCCACCAACCATTTACTACTCATAGACTAGTTTATTTCCTTCCAATTCCCCGTGGTTCGACCTCGGACTTCTTAGATTTACTACTTGCGACAACCTACACTTGGGTTTGCAACCTTAAAGTTGTATGTAAATACGTATTTCAATTAATTACATTTTTAACCATGTATTTATGGAAATTGAATTTACGGCAAGAGCATTGAAATTAGAGACTAACATTAGTGTTTTTAAACAAAGTGAATGTAAAATGCCTTGTAAATGATATATCTTTGAAGCACTTTTAGATACTAATCACACTCCCCAACCAAGATATTGCTAGTCTCTAGTAATAAAAATTCAAAAATAGTTCAAATGAAATAGCTTGTCGCATTTGCCTTAGGATTTGAAATTGCTTATCAAAATTCTTCTAAGGTTTGCTACCAAAATATAGTTCAACTTGTCCAATGCTCGACCAACGTGTGTGTGCGCATAATCAATTCAATCACATACTTTTTCAAATTGTACTCATCCCGACCCTCAATAGTCAGCTATTTCTCTTTTCTCTCGTTGGATGCACACCCCCAAACTTGATTTTGTAACTATTTTCTCAAGGTGTGATTTATGGTTAAATTTATATACTATTACTCACCCTCTCTAATTTGGTTAGATTTTACTAATTATAGCTCAACACATCAATAAATGAGGATTCTTCTTAAGTTTAACTGATACAACCTCCAAGAATCAACCAAGCTACTAATCTCTTATCAAAGGTCTGATTCTCTAAAACAAGTGTTTGAAACTTAATCAAGGCATGTAGTACGTCTTCTGTTTCATGCACCTGCTTTTTTCAAGTTTGTCGTGCGTATTCTGTTTCATGCACCAGCCTATCTCTTTTTATGTATATAATTGTCCTTATTGGGCTCTTTTAGGGTAGCTTCACAACATGACAGTTTTTTCCCTTCTATGCAATGATTAGTGCAATGCCCCTTATTAAACACTTATTCTCGAAAATCAATCTTTAACTTAAGATTTTCACTTAATTATCATCTCATTGGTCTTAAGCAATCCTCACAAAATTTAACACATATAGAATCCACATCTATCTCAATGTCTCCCCACACCCCAAACTATCCTAGAATTGGTTTAGTTGGAATTTTTTTCCCTTTGTTTGTCATAGTTAATTCTACATATTCCATCTATTGATTCAATCTAAATAATATGTGATTTTAATGATTATTGTTTTCAATATAAATCAATCTAACATGAAAAGCTTCAACTAAATCAAAGCAGCATCCCCTATTCACAATTCATAACATAAAAACAATTTCAAATAATATTGTCTTCAGTCGACAAGAAATTTTTTTTTTTTTTGATCTTTTTAATTCCTTTCCCCCAACCTAAATGAAACATTGTCCTCAATGTAAAGATTAAACGTGCAAATTATATGAAGGACAGTAAGGAGCAAATTATAGAATTGTTTTTTATTCCTTTTCAAAAACTTGCTACAACTTTAAGGTTGCAAACCCAAGTGTAGGTCGTCGCAAGTAGCAAATCTCGAATGTCCGATGTCGAACTACAGGGAATTGGAAGGAAATAAACTAGTCTATGAATAGTAAATGGTTGGGGAAAATATGTCAGACGAAGACGAACACTAGAGCGTTGGGGATTCACTTCGGATAAATGAGTAGAAATTGCCCTTGATCTTTAATTTAACTCATATGAAAATCAACTAATGAGTGATCTCATATGGAAGATAAAATATTAATCACAAATATATTAAAAGATAGATCTTGATAATTGTTTGAGAGAATATGTCAAAATAAGTTGTTGAAATGTATAGATTATCTAAACATTTATTGTGCCAAAATTGTCAACAATAAATCAAAGTCTTTAACAAACCAAAATCATTTGTATAACACATACTTCAACCAAGTAAGAAGATAAACGTTGAAGAACAAAATGAAAGATCAAAAACAATACTATGCATTCACCAAAGTTTCACCCCTAGCTTTAGCTAATGGTTTAGAAATATATAATGAAATTTTACAAAGAAAATGAAGGAAACTAGAATATGATGGAGAGGAATTGATCTCTCAAAATCGTGACCAAGATCTCCTTTTACAGGCAAAGGAACATCCAAAATGCAAGTAGACTATGCAACTTGTTTCTGTCCAATTTCAAGACAGTTGGAACATGCAACTTGGTGCCAATTTTCAGATACATTGTGCAGCGAATTTAGACTTATGATCAACAGATAAATTATTTCTACTTGAGTTAGCTTTCCTTTGGTTCAAGTATCAGGTTTATTGCATCTACATAACTCCAGATATGATAAAAACAATTAGTGCTGCTTCACAGGTAGAAAAACTGTATCCGACAGGTAACAAGCTGAACTTTGCACAATAATTTTGGCTGCCTTGTGATACGAATTTGACTTCTTGCAAAACATTAAAGTTGTAGAAACACGCCTTATCTTTCCAACCCAACTTGAATCACCTCGTTTCAATGTCTGAAACTCAAGTTATGATCATTTTACCAACAACTGCTTCTTGCTTGAGACAGTCACTATTTTTGACTTTTCAACATTATTTTCGTCCACTTGCTCCACCTATTCTAAATTGAAAATACATGTGAAATACATCAAATAGATATTCTTTCAAATGTATAATACTCATGCCGACATGTATGTAAATACGTATTTCAATTAATTACATTTTTAACCATGTATTTATGAAAATTGAATTTACGGTAAGAGAATTGAAATTAGAAACTAACATTAGTATTTTTAAACAAAGTGAATGTAAAATACCTAATAAATGATATATCTTTGAAGCACTTTTAAACACTAATAAGTGGATTTTGAATGTTAAAATTGATTTGGTTTGATAGAACAACTAAACAATTTTATTGATTTGGTTAAATTGAAAACCTAAACACATAAACCATTTTAATGAACGCCCAGAGCATTTTATTCAACTTCAATATGTTAAGATTCATCGATTGATTATGTTTAGTTAGATTTTGATTGGAATGAAGAAATATAGCAGTTTAAACCAAACAATTTCAGCTAAAATGTAAAAGAACCCAAACAATTTCAACATTCCAAATCACTTGAGGTTCACCACATATCGTTAACTTCTCTGTGCGTCGCTGGTTTAGCCAAAGTAACGCTAGTGTTACTGGATTCACCAGTTGCTTCTCATTCTTTGCACCAATCCCGAAACCCACACTTCTCACTACAACATTTGAAGAATCTACTTTTGTTAGGAGTGACCCTTTCAACCTCGAACAACTTCTGAGATCCATGTGTACAATCTGGACATCGGTGTTTTATCGGGCAATCGCCAAAGAAGTGTCCAACACTCCTGCAACCATGGCAAACTCCTAAGTTCTTTCTCGGCCTTCTGTCTTGCTAAATTGATCCCAATAAAGAAATCGGTAAACATGAAATTGTCAATAACTAAAGCATGAACCAGTATCCATTTTCCTAAAAATGTTCACGGCATTCCGTGTTGCTGAATTGAACCCAGTAAAATATAACAGTAAGCATGAAATTCTCAATAATTTAAGCATAAACTAATATCCTCTTTTTGAAAAATAATAAACTCACAGGCCAAACAAGAATTCCTTTCCAATTTACTACAAACCATGAAACTGTCCATAAATAAAGCATAAGCCAGTATCAAATTTATCGATCCCTTTTTAACTCACTCCAAACAGATCAAAATTTCTCCTAAGGCAAGTAAAAATTCAACCCAAACAAGAATCCACACTGAAAGCACCAAAAATTGTAAAACTGCAGTTGTTTAGAGTTAACAAAATTTTATTTCTAATCATCACAGAAAACGCTAACTATCAACTTCAACACACAACCAGCACCATTTGTCCCCATCCGTAGGACAAGCAAACCCTAAACAACAAATTGAACCAAATAATCGATGGAGGAACGAGGAGCAAATGTCAAAATTGTACCCAAAAAAATCTCGTATTCAATTTGCAAGCAAGTGAGCAGTAAATGAAGGTTTGAGAGACGATGAATGTCAACCGATTTTTTTGCGACAGCGTAATGTCTGTACACGGCTTCGGATTCATATACCATGCGGATCAAGTCGGAAGCGAGTACCAATTTTGGCGACCACCGGAGCTCCACTATTGCCAGAGTTGCACGACTTTGGGAGGAAATGGGGAGAGGAGGGAGTAGGGCCTGATTTGGGCGAAAATTGGGAGAGAGACGAAGGATTTTCGATTTCAAAATTCAGAGTTTTTTCTTTTTTCTAGATAGTGCCACGTCACTCTGTAGGGCAAGATTGTAAACCGTCTTTGTACGCGTAGAGTGACCGTTATTGCTTTCGATTTCAGCATGCTAGCTTGTAAAGGAAGTTTAGGATATTCTTGAAAAGATAAATATATATGTACAAATAAATATTTATAAAATGGATTACTTACTCTCACAAATAAGTAGTTCTCACGTGAATTTAAAAAAGTTGGCTCATGGTCCCCACTTCCTATTGTGAGTAATGAGTAAAGAATTTTGTAAGTGTAGCATGATCCTTCTTGAAAATGTATATGAAGGAACTACTAATGTGAGATCATCTATACAGACTTCAAATTCGAGTTTGATTAATTTTACTTCAATCGATTTAATGGTACTTCGCAAAATTTTGAAATGTGAGCCAAATATTTTACGCGCCTATAATGACCAAGTCCGGGAAATGACCTCATGAGTTCTAGATTTCCTGTTCTCTTTAGGTGCAGTTAAGAGCAACACCGGCCCCCCTCTTAAGTACTGTTAATTTAGCTTAATATACATCATTAATAAATTGACGCTGGATAGGATAATGATTATCATATTGGCTTGTTGTAGCAGATAATTCACAAGAAAGAAACGACGGAAAACACTCAAAAAATTAGAGAAAATACTCTAAAATTAACTCAATATTATTAATAATACAGAATGACCAAAATTAACCCACAAGCAGGGTTAAATAACTGCGAAATACGAAATTATGGGAAAATTACCAAAAATGGCAAAATCCCGAAATTATACCAGAATAAAATATTAAGTAAAAGAAATAGGTTGCCAAAATTTTGGCTCAATTCGAGTTTTCTAACATATGGAAAAAGAGAAACGAAATATTACCATAAATAGTAAAAAATAACTTAAATTTGAATTTTGGAAAGGAAAATAGTGGATTTTGGGCTCGAAACCGAAGAGAGCTTTCCAGATTGGGATCATAATAGCGATTCTGATAACCATAGCGAAAGTTATGGCCAAATTACCAAAGACGCGTCAAATTCCCCAAATTAAGGAAATAATTGCGATTCACTTTTTATCTTTGCGCCAATCCGCCATCTCATAGAATCTCAGCGCCATCATCGTGCTATCTGACAAATTAGCATCACTCGACTCGGATCCTCCTGCATCAGTCGCCCCGGGTTGGAAAGAACTCCACAAAACAAGGGTTTAGGTGTTTCACATTGAAGACGTCAAAGGTCTTCAAATGGCTAGGGAGGCGCAACCTGTAAGTATTATCATTGATCTTCTGTAGCACTTCACAAGGTCCAATCTTCTGCTTCCTTTAGCTTATCGTATTCCCCAGCTGAAAAACGATCACGAGTTAATACTACCCAAACAAAATCACCAACATCAAACAACACCTGGCGCCGATGACTATCTGCCCAAACTTTGTACTTAGTATTACTATCCTATATGGACAGCTTCACCTGCTCATGGATACCCCAAAGATATTCAGCCGTCTCATCAGCTTTGTTATTGAAGCAACCCACACGTGGAATTGGAGCCAAATCAAGTACCCCGGATGGATTTCGGCCATAGATAATTTCAAAAGGACTCAATTCGAGGGTTCTATTCCTTGACCGATTATAAGCAAACTCTGCTTGAGGTAATGCCAAATCCCACTGCTTCGGTTTAGTCCCTGCCAAGCTTCTCAAAAGATTTCCCAAACTCCGATTCACCACCTCAGTCTAGCCATCTGTTTGGAGATGGTATGCCCTGCTAAAATTCAACTTCGTCCCAAATTTCCCCCACAAACTCCTCCAGAAATGACTCATAAACTTAGTGTCACAGTCAGAAGTAATTGACTGTGGAACACCATGTAAACGCACAATCTCTCTGAAATAAAGATGAGCAATCCGAGTAGTATCCATTGTCTTCTGGCAAGCCACAAAATGAGCGATCTTTGAAAATCTGTCAACCACAACAAGAATGGAATCCATCGCCCGTTGTGTACGAGGTAAGCCCAAGACAAAATCCATACTGACATCAAACCAAGGAGTTTCAGGTACGAGTAATGGTGTGTACAATCCAACATTAGTAAGAGCCCCTTTAGACCGCTGACATACATACACCGCTCTACATAATGCGCGACATCACTGTTCAACTTGTGCCAGTAATAATCAGAAGAGATCAATGCCAATATCTTGTCTCGCCTAAAATGTCCTTCATTATGAAGTTCACTAATAATCTGCTGCCTTAGTGAACAATCCGGAATGCATAACTGCAATCCACGAAACAGGTAACCATTATGTAAAACAAAATCATGTCGATGATTATCAGTTACTTCCCGAATTATCTTCCCAAACGAAGGATCTGCAGCATACATATCAGTAAATGCCTCAAATCCGACAATCTTGGTGCTCATGTGGTGTGGAGTAATGTGCGACTACTTAATGCATCTGCTACTTGATTCAAACTCCTTGCTTGATGTCTTAGTGTGAAAGTAAACTCCTGCAAGTACGCCACCCACTTTGCATGTCATGTACTCAACTTGTGTTGACCATTGATGTACTTTAAGGCCTCATGATCAGTAACAAGGATAAACTCCCTCTGTACCAGGTAATGACGCCAATGCTTCTGAGTCTGTACTATGGCATAGAACTCCAGGTCATAAGTGGAATAATTTTTCTTCGATCCCAATAGCTTCTCACTAAAAAAGGTTACTGGACGCCCCTCCTGACACAGAACACCACCAATACCAACTCCAGACGCATCATAGTTTACCTTGAACACCTTTTCAAAATCCGAAAGTGCCAAGACTGGGGCCTCCGTCATCTTCTACTTAACCAACTGAAAGCTAGCCTTTGCCTCCTCGGTCTACTGAAAATCACGCCCTTTAAGGCACTCTGTGATAGGAGCAATCAAGATACTAAAGTTTCTGATAACCGGTGATAGAAGGATGCCAATCCACGGAAACTCCTGACATCGTGCAAAGTTTTTGGCTTGGGCCAATTCAAAACTGCCCCAATTTTGGATTGATCTGCATGAACACCATCAGTAGAACAACAAAATCCCAAAAAGTTACAGAAGTTGTGAAGAAAGAACACTTATTCTGATTGATGAATAAGCGCTCCATCCTCATTATATCAAAGACAGCACGGAGATGATTAAAATGTGACTCCCATGTCAGACTATAAATAAGTATGTCGTTAAAGAGACTACCACAAACTTCCCCATGAAAAGCTGTAAAACCTGATGCATAAACCTCATAAAAGTACTGGGTGCGTTGGATAGTCCAAAGGGCATGACCATCCACTCGTACAATCCATGCTGTGTCTTGAACGCGGTCTCCCACTCATCTTCAGGCCTAATTCTGATATGGTGGTATCCGCTTTTAAGGTCGATTTTTGAGAAGACCTTAGAACCGAACAATTGGTCCAACATGTCGTCCAGGCGGGGAATTGGAAACCTGTACTTCATTGTAATCCTATTAATTGCCCTGCTGTCAACACACATACGCCACGACCTATCTTTCTTCGGCACTAGTAGAGCCGGAACTGTACAAGGACTCATATTCTCACGAATGTAGCACCTTTCCAATAATTCTACCACCTGTCGCTGCAACTCTTCAGCTTCCTTGGGACTGAGGCGATATGCTGGTCGATTTGGTAGACTCGACCTCGGAATAAGGTCGATTTGATATTAAATATCCCTCATAGGTGGTAATCCTGGAGGAAGATCCTCCGACATCAAGTCAGAAAACTCCATCAGTAGTTGCTGCACTTCTGCTGGTAATTCCAAATCCACATTTGCTGCACTATTTTCACAAGGTATTAAAGCAAAAACTATTTTTTCACGCCCAACCTCAACCAAGAACCTGGACATAGAAAGTAGATTAGTGTTATTAACTACTAGGGCAGGGATGTTTTCCTCCCTGCGAGGCGCTAAAACAATTTTCTTCCCTTTGATGCTAAGAGAATAAGTATTCTTCCGTCCATCATGGATAACACTGCAATCATACTGCCAAGGTCGTCCCAACAAAACATGACATGCATCCATTGATACCATATCACACCAAGCATTATCAAAATATTTTTTTCCAATCGAAAAAGACACTAAGCACCGTTTTTCTACCGTTACCTCGCTGCCTTTATTCAGCCAAGATAACTTGTATGGTTTGGGATGACGATCCATCTTCAGTTGCAGTTTCTCGATAGCCTCCTCAGACACTACATTATCACAACTGTCACTATCAATTATCAGCTTGTAGACTTTATCAGCAACTGTGAAAGTTGTGTAGAAAACGTTGGTCCTCAACCAATCGTCCTCTGAATCGCCCTTGGGAGTCAGCAGGCTCTTTCGAACGGCCAGGGTCTCCTGACCATCTCCATATATCACGTTCTCATCTTCACCATCATCATACATGGGCTCCCCAACTTCCTCGAACTCTTCTATCATATCTTCCTCAATCAGAAGATTTTTATTCTTTTGGCTAGCAGGCTTCCTGCAATCAGTAGCCCTATGCCCCTGTTCACCACACCTAAAACACTTAATACTTGAGCCGAAATTGTCACGCTGTGGCTGATAAGCAGGACGAGATTCTTGAGGGCGAACTGGCTGACTTCTTTTACCTTTGACCACTGACCTCTTACTCTGCTGTTTCTTTACTGCAAGTGCCCGCTGATATGCTTCAAAAATCATCCACAATAAATGAAGGCTGAAAACATCCTGCAGGGGCTGCCTTAATCCCCCCAAATATCGTGCTACCATATGTTCCTCCATCTCAAAATAAATCATTTCGAGCCACCAGCTGATAGAATTCCTCAGTATAATCATTGACTGATCTTAAGCATTGCCTTAGTGAATGGAGCCTCTGAAACAAGGTTTGAGTGTAGCCGAAAGGGAGGAAATGCCCTTTCATCTTCTTCTTCATCTTCTCCCAGTCAGTAATTTTGGATTTTTCCCATCGCTCCCGTGAACGCTTCAACTGTTCTCACCATGCAAATGCTCTACCTTTGAATTTGATGGCAACCAGTTTCACTTTGACACGATCTGGAACCTCTTT